TTTTTTCGGACAATAAATTTGATGTGCAATTATTTTTTTGATCAAACTATAACTATTCAATAAATAAATATATATATACATAACATCTATATCCTTATTATTCCTACTCTTCTTTTTTAGCAGTAAAAATAAAGGAAATTAAACGATCCGTTACATGTTTAGTTCATAAGCAAAACTATTGGATTACACTAATTAATCGAGTTTTGTTTATTTAACAGGTGCACCACGTGAAGGTAGTGTAACGGTCTTGCATCATTTATCGTGATACCTGATATACTCGACCAACTTTTCTTTCGGTTATCAACCAAAATAAAAAAAATTGGTAAAAGAAGTATCTTAGCACCCGGGAGAGGCAACCGCTCACCCTGGATAATACAATAAGGAATTTTTGGACGGAGAACAATAACAAGAATACAATCGTACCAAATTATGATAACAATGAAAAGCGAAAGTTTCTGAAACAGAACACATTAAAACATTTCTAAAATAGATGAAAAAGAAATCTGAAAAGAAATACATTTTGAAAAGAAACAAATATAAATTAATAAAAGAAAGCTGAAAAAGAAGAAAACATAATGTAAAGACCTAATGAAAAGATGGTTCGACCGAAAACTAAAACGTATGTATTCACGAAATCGTGTAATTTAATTCACGATTTAAATCTATGGTTTTGCTACATGCAAACGACCAAAGTCGTAAGATAGAAGCAACGAAAATCTAACATGTATAGCAAATTGCACTTTACCATAACAAATTAGCTTCTCTCAAGAAAGGTATGGAAAAGAAAAGGTATGGTTTTTGCTGCGTATATTTAATAGTTTGGTCCACCTCCGAAGTGCCCGACCCAGCAGCAAGATCTGAACCCCCCACAGCAAAAAGGGAACAAATCGAGCGCAACAGTCCGGAGGTGAACTTTATCTGCTGAAAGAGAAACACGTGGAAATACGTTAGATCTCCACAGACATGGATTAGTACAACCGATTACGAATGGAAAATCACTCGAAATAATAAACTAAAAACCGTTTCAAATTTGAATTGTAAAAAGAATCGCGAGCCTTGCAAAGCAGCTCTACCGACGATCGATACTATATAACTAAATTGAAACAGGAAAATAAAATTTGATTTAAGAAATATTAAAATTCGCTCGTGCGAATAGAAGCCAAAAACGTTGAAGATGACACCCGGCTGGAGGATATATGGAAAGGTAAAAGGACCGGCAGAGACCCTGT